TTCATCCACTACAGAGTGGGAATACCCACCCCACATATGGCTTCCCCATGCTGTTACTATGAGACACAGAGACAGGAGAGATTGAAAAGCATGTCAGCAATTCTCCAGCACTCCCCCAATGCAAGGAGTTACACAGAAGGCGGTTTACTCCATCTATCACTTAATCACTCTTCAAAGAGTTCAAGTTTTTAAAAATGATATATCTGCTTTCTGTTTGTTGATCACTACTGGGAACCATGTATTGATCATTTTATACATAATATAAATTTAATACATTTTCTAAATTTAAATTCATGTGACATTTCTTCTTTTAAACAGTGATAACTTAGCATTTAATATATATATACCATGCCCTGGGAATATAATGATGCACATGAATTAGGCATAGTATCGGCCCTCTCAAAACTTAATTATTCTAGGAGAAATAGACACCAAAAGAAATCCACTTATGTAAATTTTTGACTGTTCCTTCTGTTTCTGTGAACGATATCATTGGTAATTTGATAGAAAATGCATTGAATCTATAAACTGCCTTTGGTAGTATGAACATTTTAACAATATTTATTTTCCCAATCCATGAACATGGAAGATCTTTTCATTTTTTTGTGTGTGTTTTCAATTTCCTTCATTAGTGTTCTGTAATTTTCAATTCAGCAGATCATTACTTCTTTGGTTAAATCTATTCCTAGGCGTGTGTGCATGTATACACCTATATGTACACACACACACACACACACACACACACACACACACATATATATATATATATATATATATATATAATTTTTAAAGGGATCTCTTTATGTTGTCCAATCTGGCCTTTAACTATTGGGCTTATGTGATCCTTCTGCCTCAGCCTCCTAGTATTTAGGACTATATGTGTGCACACAACCATGCCTGACTTATTCCTGAGCATTTTATTTTGTTTTATTTTTGTTGCTCTTATGAATAGTATTGCTTTTGGGATTATTTTTCTTAAAAAGTTTGTTATTAGTACATAAAAATGCTACTGAATTTTATATTCTGTAACTCTGTTGAATTCATTTTTCAGTTCTAGTTGTCTTTTCTACATATATAAACATGTTGTTTTCAAACAGAGATAATTTGACTTCTTCTCTTCTGATTTACACTCCTTTTTTTCTTTCTCTTGATATTATCTCTTCCCAGACAAAATGGCAATTATTTAAAAAAACAAAAATTAACAAATACTAGCAAGGCTGCAGAATAAAGGGAACTCTTTTTTAATATATTTTATTTTTTAGTTGTAGTTGGACATAATATCTTTATTTTATTTATTTTTATGTGGTGCTAAGGATCCAACCCAGGGTCTTGCAGGTGCTAGATGTGCACTCTACTACTGAGCCACATCCCAGCCCTAAAGGGAACTCTTATACATCGTAAAAATGTAAATTAGTGCAGTCATTATGGAGAAAAGTATAAAAATTCTTTAAAAAACTAAAAATAGATAGTCTGTATGATCCAGAAACCACACTTTTCTGTATATACCTAAAGAAAATGAATTTGGCACACCCAGGAGATACCTGCATTCCCATGTTTACCATGGCACTATATTTACAATACTAGGATATGATATCAAACTATGTCCATCCACTATTAGATAAAGAAAATATGGTATATATGCATAATGAAATATTATTCAGCCATAAAAGAGAATGAAACTCTGTAATTTGTTGCAAAAATGAACGAAACTTAAGGACATTAAGTGAAATAAGTCAAATACAGGAAGACAAGTTCTTCATGTTCTTTCTCATATGTGGAAGCTAAATAGGTTGGTCTCAAAGTAGAAAAGAGTAGAATAGCAATTTCTGAAAGTCAGAAAGGGTAGAGGAGAGGGGAGATTCAGGTAGGTTGGATAATACAGTTAGGACAAATAAATTTCTGTGTTCTGCAGCATGGTAGGGGACCAGCTCGCTACAGTTCATAATAACATATTTATTTTTATGAAGAACTGGAAGATAGGAGCACAAAGCCTCCAACCATAAAGAAGTGATAAGGAGGCGGAAACGCTGACCATGCTGAGCTGATCAGCACACATGGCATACAGGTATTGAAATATCACACTACACCCCATTAATATGTATACAATTATGTATTAATTGGGTTGGGGGAGAGATGTAGATTGCAATGATCACTGTGGTCTGGGAAGGCTGGAGGAAGACAGCAGGCATGGATGAAGGAGCTGGGGAAGCATATTCCAGGCAGAGCTCAGCAAAGGCAAAGGCCTGGGGGCTGTAAATAGAAACCAATGTGCCCAGAGGATAGTGGGTAAAGGGGAGACCGAGTCTGAGGAGTCTGGATAAGATCAGGCCAAATATCCAAGTGGAAATGAAGATCAGCCCTGAGACACATATCCTAGATGGAACACTCTTGTCCTTCCCTGGGGAAGGGCTGGGTGATGGCCCCAGATTCCCTTCTCTGTGTGGGTGAGGGCTGGTGAAAGCCTAAGCAACCTGCCCATTCTTGCTCACAGATCACCTTTCTCTGTACCCAAGGTAGGAGACCTGTTGATCAGGGTAGGACTTGGTCTGGGGAGCAAGGCAGGAAGGATTGCATTGATCAAAACCTGTCACATTTCCAGCAAAACAGGCCGGAAAAGTGGGTGTTTGGGTACATTGTACCCAGAACTCACCAGGGTTCTATCAGAGAGAAAAGAATATAAAACCTATACTCCAGACAAAAATGTTTTCCATAGGTTGAGAGTCTTTCCAGCTTTCTCTTTCATGTCTGCAAAGGGTAGGCATATAAGTCAAAGCTGGGGGATGATTTGAGAAATTAGCCAAAAGCCATTTCTCTTTATCTTGCTTTCTGTTCAGGGAACCCCTTCCTCACAGTACAGCAAAACCCTGATGATCCATCATCCCTCCTAAGGAACAGTTTGCAATGAGAAAAATATTGCCACACATTTTTGCAATAGCACTAAGAAAATCTTACAAGTTTGTCCCGGTTGGCCACTATGACTCAGAACACTAAGCCAAAGAACCAGCTACCTTCTCAATTTATTATATAAAAGAAATATTTTCTTACCTTCCCTCACCTGCAAATATTCACCTTAGAAACTAAATTTGAAACCTTATAAAATCCAAAATTATGCACACCTTTGTATTTCAAGAACTAAGTTTCAAATTAATGTTTTAACTCAACAAAACATTGAGTGAGCATCCATGATTCCCCAGGTCCCTAAGGGATGAACTAGACCAACAAGGCCCCTGGAGTTTGTGTCCTGGAGAGAGAAGTGGACAAAATCAATCAATCAAACAAACAACAATAAAAGAGACAGAATGGGAAATTGTACTCTATGTATAATATATCAAAATACATTCTACTGTCGTGCATTCAAAAAAGAATAAATAAAAAAATTAAAAATAAAAGGTGAAGATCTAATGAGGAACTGAAAAAAAAAAAAAAAGAAGAAGAATAAAGGACGAAACACAGAGGCAGGAGAACAGGAAGGTCAGGAGCTGGACTGGGGGCCAGACTTCTGGGATTGAATATCAGTGGCTTCTTGGTTGTATGACTTAGGGTAAATTATTTGCTTCTCTGTGCTTCAGTTTTCCTAACCATAAAATACTGAGGATAACTATTTATTTCATGGGAGTTGGGTGGTGTGGGGGGTGGGGGGGGCACAATAAAACTGCTTTCTGCTTCTTAATGAACACAGCCCCATTCACGGGCCCAGAAACTAGGATGTAGGCAGGATTGAAAGGATAAAAAATGAGGGTGACAAATTTGTACCTATCTTACTTGAGGGCTATGCATATTATGTAATTAATTTTTTTTAATTATTTAATTTACATAAAGTACACAGAATTGTGACCGGTATGTAGAAAATGCTCAATAAATATTAGCTATTATCCCATTTTAAGTTTTGAGTTTTTACCTGATGTTTACACAGTGCTATCTATACAAGGTCTCCAAAGATACCAAGGAATCCCCAAGGCCAATTTTATCAAGCAGAACCACAGCTCACAGTTGAATATTTTCGCTTGTGCGTAAGAATCTCATGAAAATAAAGAGATCAGAGTGGAACCGAGGAAGAGGATTGAGGAGGAGGTAGGAGGGATGGGAAAAGGGAGGAATGGTAGAATGAAATTGACCCAAGCATTCCGTGGACATAAGTGAATATACCACAGTGAATTCCACCTTTATATATCATGCACTAATTTATAAATAAATAAATAAAAGACCAGTAGAGTAGAGGAAAGGAAATGGGGGAGGGATGACAGAGGGGAGGGAAAGGGGAAGTGCTGGGAACTGAATTGGAGCAAATTATATTCCACTCTTGTATAATTATGTCAATATTATTTTTAACTATAAGGCACTAAAATAAAATATTCATCTCTAATAAAACATTTGTATAAAAAGAAAAGAAAAAGAAAATTTCCTCTTTCATACACCTGCTCAGAAGAATTCTTGTCAAATTTGCACAGGAATTTCACCCAGGGCCTGAAAGGCATGAAGATTTGGTAATAAAGTATAGTAAGGTCAAGGCCACAGTTCCTAAAGGAAAACCCTAACAGATGGAAGTGTATCCTGCCCTGTCACTCATCATCCTTCTGTCCCCTTCATTTCAACACCCAGGACTGGCTATTACATCAGCATTTTCAATGATGTAAAAAGGGAAAACACAGACCTGAGCTTTCATGGAAAGTCTTCTAACTCTCACAACCAGAATCCGTATCTTTAAAAAAAAAAAATAAGAAAGAAAATTATGATTTTTAGATCTTTAACTTTTCCTTCAGTATTTCAAAACCCAACCTTTTGAAAAGTATCTTTTCTGAGGAATGATATTTCCTGGCACCACATAATCTCTGTCAAGTGACTCAGTGTGATTTTTTTTAATATCAAGTCGCCCCAACTTACAGAGAAAAAGTGGGCCCTTGGTATCAGTTTGATGTCAGGGGTTTTCCCTGTTTGAAAGGAGCTTTAAATAGGAGTAGATTGGAAGGTGTCTGCAAGCTGAGCTCCAGTTCCCAGTCAAGATGCTTCTGGGCACCATCCTCGCCTCCACCCTGCTCTTGTGCTCTGTGGCCAGCCAGAGGTGTTCCACCTCGGCAGGAATCAGGGATGTTGACTTCCTCCTCCAGAAGCTGAAGGTAGGCTGCTGGGCTGCAGGGATCCTGTGGGAAAGACTGAGGCAGACATGGCGGTAGGTCCCTCCAGGCGATGAAAAACACACCATTCACTGTGGCTTATCATATCCTTATCCACTCTAGGAAGACTCAACCTCGAAATGTAGCTGCAGCGCCAATGTGAGTGAACGCTCTTTTGAGAACTTTCTAAAGTAATTTCAGTGTTTGTGTCTGGAATCTTCACTCAGAAATTTCTCTTTTTCAGGTAACCAGTTGTTTGTGTCTGCCCATCCCTTCTGTAAGTATGGGGCAGGGTGCGGGGTAGATAATCTTGATTCTGGGTTTTTAAACTTTGAAGTAAAAATAAATAGCTATATTTGATATTTTAAATTAGAAATTGTTCCTTAATGGCAAAAACCCTGACATTAATACAGATTAATATTCCCTCTTACAACCAAGCTTTTGAAACTATACACTATATACATTTCTTTGTACTTTATTTTATGGCCCTTGAGAAATTTGAATGCTTTTCAGTATTTAAAAATATATATATTGACTATCTTTTTAGATGATTGGCCATGTGCCCAATGAAATCAAACTGGAACTAAGAATATAATGAATCACGTATAGGTCGGGTCATACTGTTTTCTAATCCACCTGCTGATAACTATAGGGTTATGGAACAATGTAAGCAAAATGCTCACTCTATCTTTTATCTGGCATTACCTGTCTTCTACGTCTCCTCCCTCCTTTCTTCTTTCCCTCCCTCTTTCCCTTCTCCCTCTGCCTCCCTCCTTGTTCCCAAAAGTCTCCCTAACTGATTTAGGTGGCTGTCCCATGGTTTGAACCACCCCCTAGGAGAACAGCATGTCTGAGGTGGTGGGTGGCAGGGCTGCCAGGGGCTTCCAGAGAGAAGCTCCCCACTTTGGCAGGGAGGGAAGGGGAAGGAATGTTCTGATTCCTAATTCCAGCCCTTGGTAGGGTGAGGGGACTGACCCCAGGAGACAGTGCTTTCTCCCTCCTTCTCTCTCTCTCTTTCTCTCTCTCTCAAGCTGGGCTGGAAGAACCTAAGCTTTTCATCCCAGAAGAAGTCAAAATCACATGCTTCGTGAGCTATCCATTATTTGAGAAGAAGCAAAGCAGAGCTATGCATAAAAAGCACAGCCCTGTCCAGCCCTCTGTGCAGGACTTTAGCCCTGATTCATTGCCACATCCCATTGGCTGGTGTGAAAAGGCTTTTCCTTTTTCCATTCTTTCAAACTCACTGGGGCTATACTTGAAGCGAGGGACATCAGTGGAAAAAAGTAGAACTACTTGTTTGCCAGCGCTTACTGGCCCCATGTTTCCTAGATGGAACATGCTGGAAATCTTGGCTATATCTTGAAATATTGAAGATTGTTTCCTAGACTGACAAGGGCCCTATCAAAAAATAGTGCTAACTCGGGTTACACTGGTTAAGTTAAAATACTCTCTAAAAACCATTCTCTTTGTGATTCCTTCTCAAAATTGTCCTGGGAGCATTTCTTTTCACAAATTCGTATTATTTGCCAGGACAACTGCAGCACACCGTGCTTCCAGGAGGGGCTGTCCCAGATGACCAATGCCACACAGAAAACAAAATTCTCGCAGGTTTTCCTTCGGGTGAAAAGATCGGTTGCCATCCTAAAGAACAACAAGTGTCCAGTGAGTTTATGTGAATGGGATTTTTATGTGAATGTTAATGCTAGCTCTGATTGAATGAGAAAGGATGATCAAGTTAGAATTGTAGCTCAAGGTTGACAAAGGGAGATCTATGAAATTCAATCAGAAACAATAGAATCAAAATGAGATCTGCCCCAGATAGTTCATTGTTGCCTAGTTTAAAAAAAAAAGAAACGCTGACACCAACATGGCCATTTTCTTCTCCCTGCTTATTGGATAATGAAAGAATCCATCCTGATTGTAATTAGAAGCTACAATCGGGAGAATCAGGGCTGTAGCCCATGCAATCCTAAATTATCTTAAACATTCCATTTGCTAACCAAATGGCTGTGGTGGCCTATAAGTTAAAGGAGAATTCTTAATTGGTTAAAAAACATTTTTAAAGGAAAACACACCCAGATCACCACCTGCCTTCAATGCCTACCAATACATTCTTCAGCATAAGTCCTAGTTGCTGGGGTGGGCGCTGCCGGACCTCCCTGCCTTCCTTTATATTCACATTTGCCGGAGAGCACAGAGGCCTGAAAGCCCAGAGCTCCGTTTAGTTGTATGTGTTTCTAATCTAGTTCCAAGTGCTTAATATGTACTCTTTTACTGAGTACCTGCCTTAGGACAATTGTTAGGTTTATCACCCTCTCTTGAAGAGAGGAGGAAACTAAAGCTTAGGAAAGTTAACTAAGTTGCCTGATGCTATCTATTTACTAAGTAGCAGAGTTGAGATTTGAACTTGGGTCTATGTGACCTCCCCAAAGTCTGACTTTTAGTTAGTATGTTATAAAATGACCTTGGAAGGACAATTGAAATGGTTAATGATGCATTTTAGCCCTCAAAAAATTCCAGGAAAAGTTTCTTTCTAACTGGGGGGATTTACTGGCCCCATGTATGTTTGAAAAGACCCCTGAAGTCCTAGCCCAGAGCCAGGCACATCCAATGTGTTCATGAAATGCTAGCCAGCCTGGACCTCCCCGCCTATTTGCTCCAGATCTTGAGCCCCTTCCTGCTGTCCTTTCTCAGGCTCTGGGCAGGTGGTCTCGGGGCTCCTTGGTTCCACGTTGCTGAGTTACTCTTTCCTTGTCCACTTCTATCTGCAGTTTTTTTCCTGTGAACAGCCATGCAACCAAACCACACCAGGCAACATGGAGACATTTCTGAGGAGTCTCCTGGAAACATTCCAGAAAGAGAAGATGACAGGGGTGAAAAGCCAACTGTGAAAATGAAATATTATTTATTCTATTTATGGAATTTTAATACTTTCTCTTTACATTGTTGCAAATTAAAAATCAAGTAAGCTACTCTAAATCAAAATCAGTTGTGGTCATTTGTTTAAAATTTTGTCTTTATTTTGCAATAAATATTATGGGGAAAGAACACAAGCTAGTCATGGAGTGCTTGTTCATTGCTTATTCATTCCTTGCTGCCTGGACTTTGTCAGGGGGTAGAATGGGTCAAAGAACCCATAATGAAAAGATGCATGATTCTGAACATAGACTTGGAGACTCTTGAACCATGACCAGGACTGAAGGGTACAGCTATTTTTTTAAATTATACTTTTTAAATTTGTTCTAATTAGTTATAGATGACAGTAGAATGCATTTTGACACATCATACATAAATGAAAGATAACTTCTCATTCGTCTGGTTGTACATGATGTAGGGTTATACAGGTCACGTAATTATATATGCACATTGGGCAATAATGTCCGATTCATTCTACTATCATTCCTATCCCCATTTCCCCTCCTCTCCCTTTATTCCCCTCTGTCTAGTCCAAAATACCTCTATTCTTCCCCACACTTATTGTGAATTAGCACTGCATATTAGAGAAAACATTCAGCCTTTGGTTTTATGGGATTGGCTTATTTCGCTTAGCATAATATTCCCCAGTTCCATCCATTTACCAGCAAATTCCATAATTTAATTCTTCTTTAAGGCTGAGTAATATTCCATTATGTATATATACCACAGTTTCTTTATCTATTCATCCATTGAAGGACACCTAAGTTGGTTCCATAGTTTAGCTATTGTGAATTGAGCTGCTATAAACATTGATGTGGCTGTGTCACTCTCGTATGCTGATTTTAAGTCCTTGGGGTATAAACCTTGGGGTATAAACCTAACTATGACTGGGTCATATGGTAGTTCTATTCCAAGTTTTCTTAGTTCTGTTCCAAGTTTTCTGCTTTCCATAGTGATTGCACCAATTTTCAGTCCTACCAGCAATACATGAGTGTACCCTACATCCTTGCCAACATTTATTGTTGCTTGTATTCTTTTTAAAATTTTTTTTAGTTGTAGATGGACACAATAACATTGTTTTGTTTATTTATTTTTATGTGGTGCTGAGGATTGAACTTAGTGCCTCACACGTGCTAGGCAAGTGCTCTACCACTGAGCTACAACCCCAGCCCTCGCTTGTGTCCTTGATGGTTGCCATTCTGACTGGAGTGAGATGAAGTCACAGTGTACATTTGATTTGCATTTCCCTAATTGCTAGAGATGTTGAACATTTTTTCATATATTTGTTGATCAACTGTATTTCCCCTTCTGTGAAGTGTCTGTTCAGTTTCTTTGCCCATTTATTGATTAGGTTATTATTTATTTTTTAATTTTTTGGTGGTAAGTTTTTTGAGTTCTTTATATATCCTGGAGATTAATGCTCTGAGGTGCGTGTGGTCAAGATTTTTTTCTGCAGGACAATGTGGGGGCAGTCTGAGGGTTGCTACTAGGGAAAGTTTAAGCGCTTGCCTTCCGGGAGGCACAGGGCACTGCCCAGAGTCTCTGTTCCTCAAAGGGGAGAAGGCCTCCATTTGGTGAGTTCAAGACAGTAGAATGAATGGGACATAACTTTCCTATATTCATATATGAATATACCACCCGTGTAGCTCCGCATCATGCACAACCACAAGAATGGGAAGTTATACTCCATGTATGTGTGATATGTCAAAATTCATTCTACCATCATGTATAGATAAAGAGAAAAAATAAATTTTAAAAATTGAATATATATATTACACATTATATATATATATATATATATATACACACACACACACACACACACACACACACACACACACACATATACATGCTGGGAGCCTTCTCAGGAAGGTGGCTGGAGGATGAGTGTGAAGAGCTTGAAGCTGAACTGGGAAAGTGCCCCAGAGCAGGCCTCTGGATTCAAAGCATGAAGCAGATAAACCCTGGGCTTATCCTGTCTAGTCAGCTCAACGATTTTCAGTGAACACCCACTGTGTTGGTCAGCTTTTTGGCCACTGTGACTAAATGACCTGACCAGAACAATTATAGAGGAGGAATAGTTTATTTGAGGGCTTACGGTTTGAGGTCTTAGTCTATAGAAGGCCAGCTCCATTCCTCAGGGCTCAAGGTGAGGCTGAACATCAAGGCAGGAGAATGTGGCAGAGGGAAGCAGCTCATATCACCATGATCCAGAAGCAGAGAGCGTCTGCACTCTTGAGGTACAAAATATATACCCAAAGCCATGCCCCAATTGCCACCTCCTCCAGACACACCCTACCACTTCAGTTTCCACTCAGTTAATCCCTATCAGGGGATTGAATCACTGATTGGGTTAAGACTCTCACAACCCAATCATTTCTCCTCTGAACCTTCTTGCATTGTCTCACACGTGAGTTTCTGGAGGACACCTCGCATCCAAACCATAACACCCATTATGTGCTGGCTCAGGGCCTGGCTGGGATCGGGGTCTAATGCGGTCAACTCCAGGGAGCCTTGAACAAGGCCATGCAACTGGCCCAGTGTGGCTATGGCTATCCATCTTACCCTGATTCTCCTTCCTGCCCACCCCAGCCCCATCCTGGCCTCTGTTCCACCAGGCTCACTGCCTTCTCTTCCAAGATGCTACCTTTCTATTAATTCACCACGTTTATTGTTCACTGTCCATTTCTCTCTGCTCACCTGCCAGCTCCCCCAGGGCAGAGAACTCTTTGGTTCACTGCTATGTCTGTGTCCTGGGTGCCTGTGCTGAGCTGGCGTGGAGCAGGTGGTATGGAAACATGGTCTGAGCGGATGAAGGCCTTCCAGATGATAGAGCACAGTGGGACCTGATGTCCAGATCAAGAACGTGCACACCTAGAGAAGAGAAAGCACCCAGAACATACCATGGATGCCTTTCCAACACCTCAAGGCAGTCCCAGATAAGGGTTCAGACCACTTGTCCCCTAGAAGGGGGCAGACCACCAGCCCTCCGGTCTGGCCTTCCTCGTCCTGAGTGATGGACAGATGGAGGCAGGGTTAAGGTCACTATCAAGTGGTCTAACAACAATCAGAATGGTCTTTTCTGTACAACCTGCTGTTTTACAGGGATAGGAAAAACTCAGAGGCTTTTCTTTTTTTTTTTTAATTTTTAATTTTTGCAGTGCTGGGGATACTAAGTAGGCACTCTACCAGAGAGCTACATCTGCAGCCTCAGGACTTAGAGGCTCTTAAAGGACAAAGTCTACTGTGGAGGAGAATTTTCCTTGCCAAAATTAGAATTGTTTCCCCTCCCTGTTGAGCTACCCTGTACTTGGATTTTTTTCATCACAATAACATAGGAAGTTCAGAGCAGCCCGAGAGAGTCCCTCACAGGTTCTGCCTGGCTTCACTTTTGTTCTTATCAGTTACAATGTCAACCATGTCCAGATGTGACCTGCTCTGCAAATATCCTTGGCCAAGAGTGAGATTTGTAGCCCAGTTCCTGCAGCTATGTATCTGTTTCGCAGTGACAGTGGGAATAGGTTTTACCTTCTGCCTGTAGCCAACCCCCTCATGCATAGGGGTGATTGAGATGGGGTTTTAGCCAAAGGAGCTCAGGTCAGGAGAATGGGTTATTATTATTATTTCAGTCCATCATGATATTCAAATATTCATCCATAAACATCTTAACCTTAGTTGAGATAGAAAAAGACAAGATCTCAGTTATTTCTGGACGAATACGTATATAGATATATATGCATAACACCATAACACACTGGATTTCTCCATCAAGAGACTTTCTGAAGAAAACCACTGGTATTAAACTGTGTCCTCTCTCAGTGCTGAAGGCCACCAAGCATTTTTGCCAGGGACGCACACCTATTGACTGTAGTCTCATCTGTTGACACAGCTTGCCAAGAGGAGTGGGAAACATTATGCAGTGGTGATAGGGGGTGGGTGGGCACAAGTGCCATTGTGGTAATTTTTGGAGTATCTCCCATAACAGTGGGTAGGGGAATTCATGTTCCAACTCTTAGTAGTAGTGTATCCTGGCATCTCCTATATTTTTTTCTTCCTGAAAACTTGATCCATGTAAGTTCCAAGTTTTCAATTCTGTAAATACTTCAGTGAAATTGGTACAGGTATATATATAAAAATGATTGGAAATCAAAATCTAGAGCTTATTGTATAACTTGTTATTATTGATAATTTGATATCATTATCACTAATCATTCACATATTATTTTTCTCAAAAGAATATAACTTTTTTTGTGTGTGTGTGGTGCTAGAGATTGAACCCAGGGCCTTGTGCATGCAAGGCAAGCACTCTACCAACTGAGCTGTATCCCCAGCCCCCCTTTGTTTTTTTGGTACAGGAATTGAACCCAGGGCACTCTTACAACTAAGCTACATTCCTAGTCCTTTTTATTTTTTATTCTAAGACAGTTTCTTTTGATGTTGCCCAGGCTGGCCTCAAACTTGTGATCCTCCTGCCTCAGCCTCCAGAGTGGCTGATTTATAGCTGTGTGCAGCTGCACCCTGCAAAAGAATAGAATTTTTTATACTTTGAATCTTCTTTTTAATTTGTTCTATATTAATATTTATTTTAAAGTTACCATCAGTGATATATTTGTTGCTCAATTTCAGTTTTTGAGGTGTACCATAAATGAGACAATGGCACATAATGGCTAAGGTTTTCACTATTCAGAGTCCTCAATGCTCTCCCTCTTCATGCAGGGGGCTCCCAGCATTGGGTTCCTGACTGTGCAAGGCACTGAACAGGGTGTTCACATGGGGCTATCTTGCCTGTGGATTCCCACAAATAAGATGACTTTCCTCCCCAGCATTTTCCCCTCTGTGCATGAGCCAAAGGTCTAGCAAGAAACACATTTATTACTATTCATTAGCAATGCTTAATATTTAAACACTTGCTCTGTGCCCAAATATGTAGCATCTCATTTAATCCCCTATTAATGATAGGAGGTAGATATTATTT